CTCCATTTGATGCTGGTGTTTCACAGGTACTTTCTAGTAAAAGTTATAGGAACTGGCATTCCTGAGTGTCCCCTGCACGTCAGACTTAATGCTTGCTGCCCTACCTACCTTCACTTACTTATCACCCATAACTACCCTTGATGGTTAATGGACATCTCCCCATTCATTACAAGACAAACCCAAGGTTCAGGGAGATTATGTCAATTATCAAGGTAACTCAGGTAGCAAGTGGCAGATTCAAGATTCCAGGAGCCAAAGACTCACTTACCCACATTTGCCCTCTAGGTGCCCATGACCTGGCCACACCAGAATGGTCACAAGTAAGTGAAATCATGCCTGTCTTAGCTCCATTTCCCAAGGCCAAATTCCTTAGGCACTGGAGCAGCGGTCTGGATTCTGCAGGTAACTCAGCAGGAAGTAAAATGAGACAGTGGTTAGAAATGTGTGTTCTGGCGTGAGCCTGCCTAGTATTCACATCTCAGCTCCACAAAGGTTGAGGGGCTTTACCAAGCCTCCCTGAGCATTGGGTAATTCAGGTAGGTAATAGTTGTACCTAGTCCCAGGGTGGTTAGGAGGATTTAAAGAGATAGCCCACATAAAGCTGTCAGCAGACTGCCTGAATATAGTAAATACCCAATCATTATTTGCTACCTAGCTAAATAGGAGGGCTTTTGATGGTGGCAAGCAATTTCCAAGCTTATCTATGGCAGGAGTTATGAACCTGGGGTCCAGGAGGTCCCTGAAATTATTTAAAAACCTTTTCTCTAGGAAGAGTTCTGAACCTTTATCAGTCTCATACGGGTCTGTGACCTGACAGAGGTTAAGACTTTTTGACTGCTGTAGACCTGACTTCCTACCATATATATTATTTCTCAAATAACAGGGTTAGCAAAAGATCCTCAAGTCGTGGGAGAAATTGCTGGATCCTCTCAGCATGGCCTCTCCAGCCACGTGTGCCTCTGGTATTTATCACACAGTCCCAGAAACTGCCCAGAATTCCCAGGTGGTTCCTATGAGAAGGTCTGAATACAAATCGCACAAAAAGAAGGAATCAGGCTGCAGGAACCTTCTCTGGGAGGGCCAGCCCCAAAGATCTATTCGTCCTCCGAGAACAATCAGTGCATTTGTTTTGCATACCACGAAGTGAAATACACAGGACACTGGCCCCTTTTCTGGGAGCTCACAAAAGCACCCGGAGTTACTCCGCAAAAGGAGCATGGCTCCAAGGTGCTGTTCAGACCTGATCCACAGCACCTGATTCCGGAAGGGCCTGTCACCTTCCCAGTCTGGCCTTGACTCAGGAAAAGCCTGTGGTGCTGCTGGAGCCTTTGGCCCAGTGGGCAGGACCCAAGCTGTCCACTGGACCCTCTCCGGTTGTTGGGACAACCATCCTCAGGAATTTCGGCCTCCCAGTCTTCCCCTGGGTGAGAAGGGGAGAGAGTTGGCAAGGCTAGCTGCTTGGCTGCTTTTCCAACCCCCTGGTGAAAGGGGAAGCTGAAAACTGGATTCCCTACCCCCAGCAGCTCCTGGCCGGCCAGCACACAAAACAGCTCAGCCCCAGAGGGAGGAATGTGCCAAGACATTCTTTAGGGTTGGTAACCAGAGACGCTATTTTGTCCTTGGTGGCTAAGAAATCACTTTTCTGACCGCAGGACCATTTGACTTACTTCTTTTAAATTCAAGGGAATGGGTGGGCATCTCCATGATTCAGGTAAGGAAAAATCCAAGGCAAATAAACACGCACGCACACACACACACACGGAGAGGAATTTTTAGTGCAATTTTTTGTCTCACAGCATTAATTAATTGCAGGGATATAACTACCTTGGCAGAATTTTTTCTCCCCAACCCACCACCCCCAAAATAAGTTTGGTTCTTTTCAGCTTTGTTAAATTTCTTCTTCCTTTTTCTCATAGCCAATCCCTGTTCCCCCTTCTCCTCTCATGGAGTCTGGAGACGTAAGAGAGGCAGAAGGGTTTGAAATAATATCTAAGAGCTGGCAGGCCCATGAAGACCATCTAACCAACCCACTTCTCAAGCACTCAAACCTCAGAGAGGTCAAGCGATTTGCCCAAGGCCACACAGACAGGACTAAAAGGCAAAAATGGGGTATGCCAGAGGGAAATTCCAGAAAACCACAAGTGGATATCCTCCAATTAGCCCTTTTCCAAAACGTACAAAGCTGTACGTTGTTTTTCCAAAACGAGCACAATAGTGACCCCCAGAGTTGACCTGAGACCCCCCCTCAGGATCCCAAGTTCAGGGGCCCAACACCAGCCCAGTGCAGGTGGGATGACAAGGAGGTACAGAGATGAAGCTTCGAAACCAGTGACACAAGGCCAAGTGTGGTGGCTCACACCTATAATCCTAGCATTTGGGAGGCTAAGGTGGGCGGATTGCCTGAGCTCAGGAGTTCAAGACCAGCCTGGGCAACACGGTGAAACCCTGTCTCTACTAAAATACAAAAAATTGGCTGGACGTGGTGGCGTGCGCCAGTAGTCCCAGCTACTGGGGAGGTTGAGGCAGGAGAATTGCTTGAACCCAGGAGGCGGAGGTTGCAGTGAGTCAAGATCTTGCCACTGCACTCCAGCCTGGGCAACAGAGAGAGACTCTGTCTCCAAAAAACAAAAACAAACAAACTAAAAAACAAAAGCAAACAAACAAAAAAACCAGTGACACAAGATGAAGAAGGTGAGCTGCTCACCTAAGTGCCACTGTGTTTCTGCCTCCTCTCCATGGCTTGTCAATCTGCTTAAAAACAAAGGCTGGGCAAGCAAGGCGTTGGGGCCTTAGGCTGGCCACAGTACCTAGCTAAAATATACTAACACTGTTTGTTTTTTTGTTTTTGTTTTTGCCTATCTTTTTTGTTTCCCCTTTATGACAATAGATATAGCTAGTTTCCCATTTGTGAAAATAGTACACAAATTTTTAAAGTGAGTTGATCTAAAGTCAAGGAGTAAGTAAGCAATAGCACAGGTGGATATAGCAAAAAAAATCATGGAGGTGGTCCATGTAACACTAAAATTTGGGAGATTGTGCTCTAGCCAATCAGTTCTTGATAGAAGCTACTTGCTTGCCCTTTTCCAAGGGTAAAGAATTACTGTTGAGAGGAGTCTCCTATTGCTGTATTAGAAGTCCCCAGATGCATGATTATCAGTGTTGGCAGGGGCGGTCCTTTCCCTCCAACAGGACGTCCAATTGCTAACAGCACACAGGCCTCAGTAAACTACAGGGACCTAAAGTGGGGCAGGTCACATACGCTTGAACTTGTGTCTGCTCTGAGAAAAGGACAAGAGAAAAGATGCTGCCAAGTGCACCAACACAGTAACAGAGCCGGCAACTGACTTGAGTAGGGGTAGGGAAGCAGCGTGTCAGGGTGACAAGTTTGAAGGTTAGCACTTCAGGGCTAGTGAAGAACTGGTATGCAGAATGGCAGAAAAATAAAAATATTTGAGCAAATCACACCTCTGGGCTTCAAATTTTCTCTTATGTTTCAAATGGGAGTTGGGCTCTGATCTACATCCCTTCCAACTTCTAAGCATCCCAATATTCCCTTCCAAGCAAACCTTTTAAATTCAGGGAAATGGTGGGCCTCCCACATCTGACAAACAGGGAAACTGAGGCTCAGAGGTTGAGGTAGCTTACCTAAGAGATGCTCTCTAGCACTAAATATTTACCTTCCAGATTACATTCATGAGACATTCAGCATGGTGCTGAGTGTAGAGGAGACATCCAGGAAGTGCTGAATGAATGAATGAATGAATGAATGAATGAACGAATGTAAGTGCTCCCAGAAGATATCGAGAATCTCAACTCTCATTTTGTTTCTGCTTATTTTCTTTTTTTAACTCACATCTTGCTACATACACTTCTGGGACACCTCCACCCCAACCACACAAGATGAAGAGTCCAAGAAATTTACCTTGGTTGCTTTACAGGGACCTGACCCCCAAGGTCACAGACACGTTTAAAGTCCACATTCCCCAAGACACTCTGCCCACAGACCGTGTCAGCAACACCGTGGTCCGGGGACTCCAGGACACACATGGAGAGGGTGTATGTATCTGTATGTGTAGCATGTGAGCAAAGAAATGCCAGACAACCAGGAGAAAGTCTGGAGTGGTAAGAGCCACACCGAGCCATCTCAGGCTCCACCTGCCTCTGCACATCATCTCAACCTACAGCGGCCTGGTACCCACCAAGGTCAGGTCCCGCTGGTGCAGGGCTGAGGAGCCTCGCCGCCCCCTCCCCCGACCAGGGAAGAAAGGGAGGAGAAAGAGGCGAGGGGCAGGGCTTTCCGGGGCCTCTCACCTCCATCTCCATCCTAACAGCTTCCAAGTTGCTGCCAGGTTCCTGGATAACCAGTCTCCCTCATCTGCCCTCCCCCGCTTCTTCACTTCCTCCCCACCCTCGGGTTCCACGGCCCCCTGGCTGCCCCTGTGCTGTTCTCAGCAGCTTCCAAGGCACCTGTCAAAAAGCACACCCCAGGATGCCTTCCCCTGAGCCAAGTGCCCTCTCTCCAGTGGTCTCCCACGGAATCCTGGGGTCCTCACCACCCCCTCCAAACCGGACACTTCCCCATCCCCATCCGCCCACCCCCACGCTGGGTGGAAGCGTCCCCGGGAAGACCCGGCTTCACCCGGTTAGGTCGCTCCCCCAACCCCCGCCCCCGCCCGACCTCTCTTCCCAAAGGGGGCGGGCGGGGCTAGAGCTTAAGGTCAAAACTCCTGGCAGGTGCCGGCTGGGGCCTAAGTCCTCCAACTGGGGATGGCGGTGGGGCAGCCTGGGCCAGCTCCCTGGCAGGCGCCTCCTCTCAGTTGCCCACTGAGGCGGGAGCAGCGCTCCAGAAGGTTGCGGGGAGCAGGAGGTGGCGAACTGAAAAGAGCTCAAGAGGCACGCAGAGCTCCCCCGCCCCCGCCCAGTCCCAGCCGGCGGCTGCAGAGGCAGGTGGGGGGCCGGGCGGGGGTGTGGGGGCACGGAGGAGGGTCCCGGGGTCCTACCTGTCCCGCGGGTCGATCCAGCTGGTGGTGCGGTTCGTGTGGTCTATGTAGTAGACCTTGCCGTCGAAGTCGCGCGCCTCCTCCCAGCCCTCCGGCAGGGGCAGCTCCGGCCGGGGCATCTTCCCGAGAGCTGCCGGCGCTCCCCCATGCAGCTCCCGACCGCAGCGGGGGCTCAGCGGCTCCAGCCGGCCGCTCTTAGCCCGGGCGGCCGCCGAGGCACCATGATCCGGGGGGGGGGGGCGCCCGCGGATGGGGGGCCCTAGTGGGGGCCGGCCGGGGTGGCGCCGCTGTCCATGCGGCCCTGCGTCCCCGACCCGGCGCCGCCCGCTCCTCCCGCCGCCGGCCTCTCACGCTGCCATGTGCGTCCGCAGCGGCGCGGTGCGAGCCCGGGTGCGCGCCCAGCCGGCCGGGCAGAGCGAGCCGAGCGCCGCCGCCACCGTCTGCCCTCCTCCGCCGCGCGGCGCGCTGCGCCCTCCACGCCGCCGCTGCCGCTGCCGCTGCTGCCTCCCTCTCCTCCCTGCAGCCGGGTGCCGTCCCTCCTCTCCGCTACGCCGCTCTGAGCTCGCTAGGTTTCTGACTTCTGCCTCTGCCAGGTGCGGCTCGGGCGGTGCAGGTAACCGCGCTGCCCCGGAAACGGGAGGTGGAGCGCCGGCCGCCTGGGTTCCCGGGTCCCCTCCCAGCGCGCAGCGCCACGAGGGCGGGTCCTAGGGCCCGAGACGCGCCCCCTCGTGGGACAGTCCCAGCCGCCGGCCACCCCTACGCTGCCCCTGCCAGGGGAAGGAGAGACCGCCCCTCACCTGCGTCCCAGACCTAGGGGGCTGGGCCAAAAACCGCTCTGCCTCTACTTAAAACGCTCCTGTCTCTCTCCACCCGGAGTAGCCAGGCTCTTGGCACAGGTGGCCCCAAATCTTAAAACTCCCTGCTTTTCTGTGGTGTAGAATCAGGAGTCAGGCAAGAAGTGGTTAAATGGAAACATTCTTGCGAATTGGGAAACATAAGTTTTCCAGGATCTCTGGTCCCTTCCCCCAACACACGCACCATCTGTCTCCTTCTATTCAACTCTCCCTACGACGTTTCGCCCACCCTCCACCCCTCCCCACCATTTGGAAATGTAGCTGGCTCCCCTCAGGGCCCCTAAAATTAGGAGCGCTGTGGATCCGCTTTCCTGGGCGGACTTCCAGAGGGTGTCAGGGAAAACACTTTGTAAAAGTAATAGTAATGCCATTGTTATTGTTAGCTAAATTGAGGACTTACTTGTGACAGGCTGTGGCTAGCAGCTTCAGAACAGGCGTTCTTTCCTGTGATACCTTGAGGTAGGTGTGTTATGGATTTGGGAGAAGTAGGGTTATGAAAACGAAAAAAGTAACCAAAGCAAAATTCCATCTTGAAAAATGTTCAAGAGAATAAAATAATCAGTTTCTTGAGAAATTAAAAATGTAGAATTAGCTGGGCGTGGTGGCTCACGCCTGTAATCCCAACACTTTGGGAGGGTGAGGCAGGCAGATTATCTGAGGTCAGGATTTGAGACCAGCCTGGCCAACATAGTGAGCCCTATCTCTACTAAAAAATAATAATAATTTAAAAATTAGTTGGGCGTGGTGGCAGGCACCCGTAGTCCCAGCTACTCGGGAGGCTGAGGCACGAGAATTACTTCAACCTGGGAGGTTGAGGTTGCAGTGAGCCAAGATCTGCACTCCAGCCTGGGCAACAGAGGGAGACTCTGTCTCAAGTAAATTAATTAATTAATTAATTAATTTAAAATGTAGCATTAAATACAAAAAGCAAGCTAGCATGATTGAGTGAATGATCAGCTGGCTGTTCACTTCCCCATCTCCTCTTACGTCTGTGTACTGAGTGGGAATTTAACCCTTTTTTGCCCTAGGCATATGGCAGGAAGCTGAACTGGTCGAAGGAAGCCCAGTTCGGTGTCTTCTCTTGCCTGAGGCCCACGGTCTTCCAGAAGAGCCAGCACCTTGTGCTGTATGGACCAGGGTGTTGCCGAGCAAGAGAGGGAATCATGTTTGTGGTCTCATCTCCTCTTGACAGAAAAGTCCCACCAGAGTGAGCCTCGCCTGCAAATGCCTTCTGCATAGTTAATTCCTTCCCTGAGGCCAGGCCCAGGGGCTCAGTGCTTGGCCATCCTTCATTCCATAAATACCAGGCACCAGAGTCCAGGGACACCAGCCTTAGACTGGCCCTCAACACGCAAAAGATGGAATTCCCCATTCCTTTTTGGGGGAATTCCCACAGCCCTCTACACTTCCTCTGTGTGGGTCAAGCCTTTACTACATAAAAACCCACTATGGGGCCGGGCGCAGTGGCTCAAGCCTGTAATCCCAGCACTTTGGGAGGCCGAGGCGGGTGGATCACAAGGTCAGGAGATCGAGACCATCCTGGCTAACCCGGTGAAACCCCGTCTCTACTAAAAAATAAAAAAAAAACTAGCCGGTCGAGGTGGCGGGCGCCTGTAGTCCCAGCTACTCGGGAGGCTGAGGCAGGAGAATGGCGTAAACCCGGGAGGCGGAGCTTGCAGTGAGCTGAGATCCGGCCACTGTACTCCAGCCCGGGCAACAGAGCCAGACTCCGTCTCAAAAAAAAAAAAAACAAAAAACCCACTATGGATTAGAGCAGTAGCCCCAAAGCAAAGCCAACCTGGTGCTAGGTTCTTTGAATACATGATCTCAATTTTCATAACAACCCTCTGGTGTAGGGAAGGCTATTTATTATACCCATTTTACAGATGAGGCTCCAAGATGCTTTGTTGTTGGCCCGGGATACAGAGCTTATAAAACAGACCAGGTCTGACTCCAGTGCAGTGTTCTCAGTCATTAACCTAGACTTTCTTTTTTGAGATGGAGTCTCCCCCCGTCCCCCAGGCTGGATGGAGTGCAGTGGCACGATCTCAGCTCACTACAACCTCTGCCTCCCAGATTCAAGCGATTTTCCTGCCTCAGCCGCCAGAGTAGCTGAGATTTCAGGCCTGTGCCACCACGCCCAGCTAATTTTTGTATTTTTTAGTAGAGCTGGGGTTTTGCCATGTTGGCCAGGCTGGTCTCAAACTCCTGACTCAGGTGATCCGCCCACCTCAGCCTCCCAAAGTGCTGGGCTTACAGACGTGAGCCACCGTGCCTGGCTGGCTGACTTTCTTTCTATTTTTGAGACGGAGTCTCGCTCTGTCACCCAGATTGGAGACTTTCTTTCTCTTTTAAATCACTCTGTAGCCCCAGAACCTCCCGGTGGTTGGGATGTGGAACATGACTGATACTGACAAACGTTCGTCTCTCTGTTGATGTTTGCTTCATAGTTTTTTGGCTGAGAAGCAAGAGCTGTAGAATCAGGCTGTTTGGGCCCGCCCGGTTTTCTAGCTGTGTGACCTTGGGCCGCTTGCTTCACTGAAGTCTCAGTCTTTGATTTGAAAAAAAAAATCACATAACAATATGGACTCCTTTGGTCTTGTGGTTAGGGCAAAGCAGGAGGAGAAATGTGAGGGCTTGGCACTCAGCAGCATGCCTTCATCTCGGGCTGCAGTGCGGTGCATTCGGAGCACCGTGCCTGGCAGCAGACACACCTCTATGAAATGTGGACCAATTGAAGTATTTTCTGTTCAAAACACAAATCCACGTCCTTTACCCTCCTGAAAATTATGCCTGGTTGCTTGCAACAGTCCTCCTTATTGTTTTTTTTTTGTTTGTTTTTTTTTTTGGCCTTATTTTTCAACCAAGCCTTTTTACTGGTTGGCATTGATTGTGAAGAGAAAACACCTTTTAGACTGCCAAGTCCTGCTTTCGTTTTAGTCCGGCCGCCCAAACCCTGGCATTTTCCAAATGGCTTGCTTCTTTGGACCTTTTGACCTGGCCTGGGAAGCAGGAAAGAGAGACCAGAGCAGGAATTGACTCCTGAATTAAGACCTTGGTCTGTTCGCTCCTTTTACCTCCCATCCACCCCCAGCGAAAGAATCCCAGGTTATCTCGAAGAAGCTGCAAGCAGGGTGAGGTAATAAAACAGATGACTGCCTGCCCCATATGATGGCGTGTAAATCATCCTGGACATTCTGCGAGGCTGAGGGCAAACGTGGAAGAGATTAAAGGTAAAACCGGCTCAGCCACGTGATAGGTTGAATTGGATGTTATTCTACAGGTGACTGAACTGTAGGAATCTGAACTGAAGACAAGAAGCCCAGGTCTCTCCTAGCCATCCTCCTGGGGCTGTGTCTGACTGCCTGTGTGTGGAGTTGAAGGAGACAGGCTTGGGCAGTGCAGAGGTGACCACAGGCCAAGCCTTTCTAATGATAAAGGCCACATCCCGGTGACCCAAAGGAATCACCTGAGCCTGGGACAGGCTGTCTTGTTTTTAAAAACGATGCCCACTTAAACCCTTTTCTCCACTGCAACTACAAGGAAGAAAGGCCGTTTTCCACACGTGTTTTAGAGTGTTTCAGAGAGCTAGAGTCACATATTCCATGAAGATGGTAAAGAGGAGAAATTAAATGTAAAAAAGAAGGAACAAATATGTCAGCAGTCGAGTTTCCTGTTAGCATCTGTATGCTTCAGTGGAAATGGAGGCTTTGAGAACCTCTGCTAAGATTTTGCCTCCTGCTCCATGACTATCTCCCTACCTCATGCCGTCCCTCCCACACATCCTCGGGAATGCACAGTTATGTTCTATGATGGAGCCAATAATGTACCCTTTCTTGAGTCATGCATTATTTGAGGTTCATAAATGTGCTGTGGACTGTTTTTTCCAACGATGGGAAAACACGTCTTAAGCCAGAGAAGATGGGGGTGGAAGAAACCTTGGTAACATGAGAGCCGAGGCAGAAGAGATGGTTTTTTATTTACCTCTAGGTCCTCCATGCTTAATTCAGTGCTCCGAAATGAACTGAAACAAGTCTTGCACAGCCTACTCATTTTACAGACAGAGAAATGGAGTTTGTATGAAGAACGATTTATTGCCCTGGTTCCTGCTGGTTCCATTTCATAGATGAGCAAACTGAGATTCAGAGAGGCAGAGAGTGACTTTTCTATAGTCACGCAGATATCAACTTAGCTACTTCTAGTGGGTTTTTGCTTCTGACTCCCAGTGTGGGCTTTAGAATGCCTATGAAGGAGAGACTTCAGGGCCATGGTCGGGTTGGGAAAGGAGGTGGGGTGGCCAGGAGACTCTCCTTACACTCCTACTTATGTTTGGGTTATGTGTCTATTTGGAG